CTTACACAATACCACACATATCACATATCAAATTTGGCTTCGAATAATCAATAAAAATAAATCATATCTACATTTAACTAAAGTACAAAAGTAAAGATTTGAAAAGCTGTGACTTTAGAAATGGTTCGTGTAGGAATGATGGTGGTGAGCGCGGGAACTGGAGGCGAACGTGCGGACGCTGTAGCCGTCCGCCTCTTTCGAAGACTCCGCCACATTTCTCTCCTCCCAGCTGTGGCCGTTGTCTGTCTGGTTCTCCATCCGGGTCCTCGTCTCGCTCGAAAAGCCCTTGGTGCTTGCCTTCTCGTCGGATTTGCCTTTCTTAGTCGAGATAACGCTAAGAATTCCGTCGGAGGACAACGCGGAGCTGATGGCGTCTCGATCAACGAGCTCAGGCAACAAAAAGCGGCGACAGAAGCTTTTCCTCGCCGAACAACTGCCTTCCTGCTTCTCTGCTTGGCCTTCGATCACAAGCTCACTCCCTCCGACCAGTGACACCGTCACATCCCCGCTAGTAAAATCATGTACGTCCATCACAACCTGAGGGAACAAAGAACTCAGTCAGATAACAAGTCAATGACACATTAACAAAGCAACATCCATTGTCTGAAATTAAAAACAAGACTTCCTAGTGCAAACTCCTACCTTGTGTGTGTGTTCATCCTCAGTCACAGAAAATGCTTGATTTTCTACTTGCAGATTGCGTTGACGTAAATTTCTGTAGGCCTGCAAGGCGTCCCTTTCACAAGACCATTCATTCGCGCTTTCCAACACCTCCTTCACAGCCTGACTGTAGTTCTGACGTACATTCTCGAAGAAATGGTCGTCACAAAACAGACCCTTCCTGATTATGGGCAAATATGAGCTTTCTGAAGACCATTTGCGTTCACTTGCAAGGGAAGCAGTAGACACTTTGGCTTCACACTCCGATTTTCGAGCATCATCACAGACTTGGTTGTCCTTCATAGTAACTTGATGCTGGTGATCAAGTTGCTCGAGGCTGTTGCTTTCATTTGCAACTTCATAATGAACTGGGATCATGTGTTTGCGTGTTTGACTTTCCTGTGGAAGAGATCATTTGTTTATTTATACATATGCAACTGCTCAAGCCCAAGCTACTCGTACATTATTCTGGACAACTGTTATTCATCTTACTTTTATTTATACTCACATTGGACGTAAATGAAGTAGTATCGCTGGATGAGGACCGTGACGATGCTTTGGTGGTGGCTTCCTGTACACTATGAGCTTCACATTTTGACTGATTTTCAGACCTGATACTGAATGCTGATGAAGCCTCATGGCTGCCTCCTTCCGAGTTGATGATTTTGTCTTGGATCTCTGCATGGCTCTTGCTTCCCTTTTCCTCGATGCTCATTGGAACTTTGACTTCTTTGATTGCAATCGTTGGCTTCTGAAAGGTTTAAGGCTTTATTGAAAGATAACCTTCATTGCAACCGAAACTCGAAGACATATTTCAACATTGATAACTAAAAGGGTTTAGGAAAAGAGCTTACTTTTTTCGGAGCCGAAATTGTCAGCACACCATCAGAGGACATGACGGATGTAACAGCCTCCAGCTGAATGTCTCCAGGAACAACGAAGCGTCGAAGGAACCGCTTGCTGGACCTGGAACCGTCTTCCTTCTTCTCCAACTGACCTTCAACCACCAACTCTCGATCGTTCACAGCCTTCACACTGATTTCTCCTCCGTTCATAAAATCATGAACATCGATTACAAACTGGAAAAAAAACATAGAGGTTAGACTTTCACAACAGCAGAGACAACATGTAATGAATTATACAGAGCATCTTATTGGACAAACATAAACTGTATTATGCTTACCTTATGGTAAGATTCGTCCTCCAGTGATGTGACAGCCTGATTCTCCTCTCTAAGATCTCGAGACCGAAGATTTCTGTAGCAAGTGAGATCATCGAAGATAGACGATTCCTCTCCCCAGTTCCTTAGCACTTCCTTAATTGCCTTGTGGAAGTCATTCCTGGTGTCTTGAAAAACAGAATCGCTAAAGAAAAGTCCTCTTCTTCTAATAGGGACGAACTTGCTTCCAGATTCATGGCAAGTTGCAGTTTCCATAAGGGACGATTTCTCCTTAGACTCGCATTCCCTCTTCTCACCAAATTGCCTTCCACTATTAAGCTGAGTAGACGTTCCAACGCTTGATTCCTTACAAACGATGGTTTCAGCCTTCCTTTGCTTTTCCTCCTGCACTTGATTCTGACTGATGTTCTCATGAGAATTTACATAGGTGTCTGCAGAGGAGCTTCGAACCTTTTCAGATTCATTCGTCACAGATCCGATCATTTTGATTGGAATCTTCTTCTCATTTTGCTTCTGAGAAGTTTTCTCTTCGCTTGTCTGTCTCTCAGAACAATGAAGGCACTCACATTCTTCTTTCTTTTCCTTGATAGATTCATTGGTGACACTTGTCTTCGTGGAAGAGGAGGATGTTTTTTCCTGTGAAACTGCCCGCTTTCCTTC